AAAACTGTAGTGAGGTCATTGGAGATTCACATGCAGTTGTGAGAAAGAACACAGAGAAGTTACTTGCATACTCTGCCCAGTTTGCCTCCAGTAGTCACCGTTTGGGGTAATCTGCTTTTGATCTCTGCAACTGCTGGGAACCTCGGTCACAAAGGTAGAAAGAACATCATTGAAAGGAATGAAAGCGCAACCTAGTGTCAAACCTGTGAATTACCTCTAGCCTGCCGTTGGTTGGTTGTTAGGTGTGGAGGTCTCGGTTCCAACACTGTGTACACTGCTGGATCCTGAGTCGTCCTCACAACTGTTATATTTGACTCCATCTACAGTTTCTATCCATCTCGTTGAGGGACTTCTTCTGTTTTGCTGACCCTCTCTACTGGACCAAGCATGATGACCTTTTTCAGTGATTGTTGTTGTTGTTAAGTGCCGTCGAGTCGGTTCCGACCCATAGCGACCCTGTACAGGGTTTCCGAGGGTGTAAATCCTTACGGGAGTAGAAAGCCTCATCTTTCTCCCGCGGAGCGGCTGGTAGTTTCGAACCGCTGACCTTAAGGTTCGCTCCTTTCAGTGATTAGTCCCTCCCAATAGCATGTCCATGAGAAAAGTCTTATCATCCTTGCATTCTGGTTGTATTTCTAAGACAGATTTGCTTACTCTTCTGGCAGTCCATGATAGATTCAATATTCTTCACCAACTTCCTAATTCTCAGGCATCGACTCTTCTCCGGTTTTCCTTATTCACTGTCCAGCTTTCACATATGCATATACGAGTTGAATGAAAACTCCATGACTTGGGTCTGGTGCACTTTAATCCTCAAAGTGACATCTTTGCTCCTTAACACCTTAGGTCTTGTGCAGCCGCTTCGTCCAGTTCAATAAATGCTTGAATTTCTTGACTGCTGCTTCCATGAGCCTTGATTGTGGATCCAAGTAAAATGAAATTCTTGACAACTTCAATCTTTTCTCCATTTATCATGATGTTTGTTGTTTACTGGCATGGTGGTGTGTTTGTCAGGTTGGCATCTGACCACAAACATGTATATTATCCCTGTCTCAGTTTCTTTCTGCAGCTGAGCAGAAATGCCTCTAGTGGGTGGTTTTAAAGAACACTTGTTTTCTCACAGCTGAGAAAGGTAGAAATCTGAATCCAGGACACTGGTCCAAGGAGATAGCTCCCTTTCTCTCAGTCCTGGTGTTCCTGAGTTTCCTCACGACCTCCACGTGGCCTCTCTTTCCTCCACTGTTCCTTTCTGTGTCTAATCTGCTGGCTTATTTCAAAAAGCATAGTTTTTTTTTTAAAGAAAATTAATCAAACAACATATTGCATTAGGCAAATCCACTACCAAAAACCTTTAAAGTGTTAAAGAGCAAAACTGTCAATTTGGGGACTAAGGTGTCCCTGACCCAATCCATGGTATTTTCAGTTGCCTCATATGCATGTGAAAGTTGGACAATGAATAAGGAGGATGGTAGAAGAATGGATGCATTAGAATTATGGTGTTGGTGAAGAATACCAAAAAGACCATGGACGACCAGAAGAAGGAACGTATCTGTTTTGGAAGAAGTGTGTCAGATTGCTCCTGAGAAGTGATGATGGAGAGACTTGGTCTCTTGTACTTTGGACGTGTTGTCAGGAGGGACCAGTCACTGGGTAAGGACATCATTCTTGATAACGCACAGGGTCCGTGAGAAAGAGGAAGACCCCTTACCAGATGGGTTGACACAGTGGTAACAACAGGCTCAAACATGAGTCGGAATTGACTTGATGGCATCTAACAACAACAACAACAACAGCCATTCCCCTTAACCTCTGGTAACCACTAACACATTTTCATCTTTAAGTATTTGCCTACTCTAGATATTTCATATAAGTGGACTCATAGAATATTTGTCCTTTTACGTCTGCCTTATTTTACTCAGAATAATGGTTTTGAGGTTTCGCCATGTTGTAACATGTGTAAGAACTGCATTTCTCTTGTGACTGAATATTTCATTGTATGGATATATCACAATGTGCTTATCCACCCATCTCTTGATAGACACTTGGATTGTTTCTACCTTTTGGCTATTGCAAATGATGCTGCAATACACATTAGCCTTCGAGTAGAAAAAAAAAGTCATTAGGTTTAACTGATGGCACACAGAGAGGATTGCAATCATTGGTAATGAAACAAAGTATGTGATTTGCTGATTGTGAAACTGATGATGTGCCCTGTAAACCTTCACTCAATTCAGAATAAAAAGTTTGTTTAGAAAGTCATTAGGTTTAATATACCCTACACTGATAAGGAGTCCTGGTGTGGTACTGCAGGTTAATGCACTGGACTGCCAGGTTGGTTTGAACTGCAAGATTGGTGGTTCAAGCCCACTAGCCGCTTCTCAAAAGCCCTATACAGGGTGGCTATGAGTCGGAACTGGCTTGAGGGCACTTAACCACAACAGCACGCTGATAAAGGAACCCTGTTGGCACAAAGGAGCCCTGTTTGGCTTACTTGTTAGGCTGCTAACCTAAAGGTTGGCAGTTCAAGTCCACTAGCTGCTCCATGGGAGAAAGATGTGGCAGTCTGTTTCCATAAAGATGTTGTTGTTAGGAGCCATTGAGTCAGTACCAACTCTTAGTGACCTTATGCACAACAGAATGAAACACTGCCCGGTCCTGGGCCAACCTCACAATTGTTGCCACACTTGAGCCCATTGATGCTGCCACTTTGCCAATCCATCTCACTGGGGTCTACCTCTTTTTCTCTGACCCTCCATCTTACCAAACATGGTATCTTTCTCCAGCAACTTGTACCTCTTGACAATGTGTCCAAAGTATGAGAGGCCACCCTGTCCTCCAAGGAACACTCTGGCTGCACTTCTTCCAACACAGATCTGTTTGTTCCTTTGGCAGCCCATGGCACTTTCAATATTCTCCTCCAACACCATAACTCAAAAGTGTCAATTCTTCTACGATCTTTCTTATTCACTGTCTGACTTTTGCATGCATATGAGGTTATTGAAAACACCATGGTCTAGTGCACCTTAGTCCTCAAGCTGACATCTTTGCTCTTCAACACTTTAAAAAGGTCTTGTGCAGCAGATTTGCCTAATGCAACACGTCGTTTGATTTCTTGACTGCTGTCCATCTTGTCCATAGAGATGACAGCCTTGGACATCTGGTGGTTGTTGGTTTTTTTTTGCTACACTGATATAGGAGCTCTGGTGGCTTAGAGAGTTACATGTTGAACTGTGAACCACAAGGTCAACGGTTTGAGCCCACCAGATGAGGTTCAATAAAGATTTACAGCCTTGATAACACTACACAGGGGTCACTATGAGATAGACCTGACTCAATGGTATACAACCACCACACTAATATGGTCTCACTGTTGTTGCTATTAAGCTAAGTGTCATCGAGTCAGTTCCAATTCATAGTAAACCCGGTAAAAGTTTTTTGAAGTTGTAAATCTTTTTTTTTTTTTAATATTAAGCAGATGTGCACTCATCTGATTTTTTTTTTTTAATGTTTTATTGTGTATTATGAGATAGTTTACATGGGAGAACATTAGCTTTACATGAAGTTGTAAATCTTTATAGGAACAGAAAGCCTCATAGTTTTCCCACGGAGCAGCTGGTGTGTTTGAACCACTGACCTTGTGGTTGGCAGTCCAGTGTACATCTTACAGAGCCACCATGCTCCCGTGGCTTCATTGTTGTTGTTGTTAAGTGCCATCGAGTTAGTTCTGACCCATAGTGACCCTGTATAGGGTTTTCCAAGGAGCAGCTGGTGAGCTTGAATCACCGACCTTGTGGTTCTAACTGGCTTGAAGTCCAGCACATCAACCCACAGCGCCACACCAGGACTCCGTGGCCTCATTAGGGTCAGTGAAAAAGAGGACTAGCCACAATGACACAAATGACAATGACACCGTCGCAACAACCATAGGCTCAAAGACAAAACTGTGAGGAGGGCGCACGACGTGGCAGCGTTTCCTGCTTAGGGTTGGAACTGACTCAATGGCACTTACCACCACCACCAATCCCTATTCTTAAATGGGATTACATTCATAGGTATGTGGCTGTTGAGTCAATTTTGCCTCATGGGGACTCTATAGGACAGAGTAGAACGACCCCCCACCCCCCGTGAATAGAGTTTTCTAGGCTGTCATCTTTACAAGAGCAGATAGATCCCCACGTCTTTCTTCTGAAGAGTCACTTCTGGGTTCAAACAGCTGACATTTTGGGTAGCAGTTTGGTCAAGCAGTTAATTAATCATTATGCCACAGAAAAATAGGAGTTAGGATTCCCACACATAGTTTTTGGGAAGAAATTATTTCAATTCATAACAACCCCTTTGAGTAGGCTGCAGTGCTCTGGGGTGTCTTGGCACACACGTTGGGAAACACACTCTTAAAACAATTAGTGTATTCTTTCAGGCTCCACACACTTAAATCTGTGTCGGGCACCTTTTCAGATGTTTCCTGTGGTGAACCAAAGATTTGAGGTAATAGTACATAGCAGATTAAGTGAGGCTGAAAAACGAGATGAGGATCACTTGGAAGCTGGTTCATTTCAGGCACAACCAGACCTAGGGATACTAACAGCATCATTCACCCCGTCCCTCCATCTGTGGTCTCTGGTCTATCTACTGGCCTCATTCTCCCAAGATCCCCCAGGCAGTGGGGACTATGATAATGGCTGTCCTGGAATCCTATCTTTTGTGGCTTCCACCGAAATACTAGAAATACCAGGAAAGGAGTGACTTGCCCACCCATTTCCCCCCAAAATACCAGGAAAGTATTCAATTGGTCCAGTTTGGGTCACATGTTCCTCTCTAGGCCAATCACTGTGACTATCTGGAGCTGGGTCATGGCTGGCAAGTGGAAACCCCACTAGAACCCGACGGAGCCTTGAAAACTGTTAGCAGAACAGACTCCATGTCCGCCATTCCCCCGTCAGTCAATCTATCCTTCCCTCCTGCATGCAGCCAGCAAACAGACTCCACCCTCTACCTTCCAGATCCAGGAGTGGGAGACCCGGATCTTTGCCCATAAGATGGGTGCCAAGACCTCGGGATTCATCCTGAATCAGAAGGTCAAAATCCGGAGGCGGATCAAGATCCTGGAAGACCAATTGAACAGGGTGAGGCCCAGCCTCTTGACTCTCTCCAGGCTGAATCTGGGGGGTCTGAGGGCAGACTGAGCAGGGGTACTGGGTCCGGGGTGTGAAATGGCCTGGAACACAGAGCGATGAAGGGACAGGATCCTGGAAAGCGGAGGGTCCCCGATAGTAAGAAGACCAATGCTGGACCCTGTGATTCATGGCCTCCTTCAGGCGGGCTGTCATTGTCTCTCCAGGTCACGTGCAGCTTTGACATCCAGCTGGTGCGGAATGCGACACTAAGGGAGGAGCTGGACCTGCTGCGGGTCGAGAGGAACCGCTATCTGAACGTGGACCGCAAGCTGCAAAAGGTCAGCGACCTGCAACTCCGGGTCTGGCCAAGCCTGATGGAGCCATCCTCACCTGGGACCTTCCTTGCGTCGTCCATCCTTCCTGCTCCCACACCACCTCCAAGTCCTGCAAGAACCCAAGCTCCTTGGGTGAAGGCTCAGAAAATGTCCCAGGACTCAAAACCCAAAACCAAATCCAATGCTGATGAGTCGATTCTGACTCAGTGGCGCCATAGAACAGAGTAGAACGGCCCCAGGGGGTTTCTGAGACTGCACATCGTTTCAGGGGCACCCAGCCTCATCTTTTTCCTGAGGAGCGGCTGGTGGGTTTAAATCTCGGACTGTGTGGGTGGTTAGCAGCACAGTGCTTAGTCCACAGTGCCACTGGCTCATTTAACAAAGTGAGCAGGTTAATCTATATTGACAGAGATTAACAGGGGTGGCATTTTGAGCATTGTCACACAGGACAACCAGTTAGCAAGCAAGACAATTTGCATGCCAGTACCTCAATAACCAAGGGGCTCTGTTAGCGTAGTGGTTACGTATCGGGCTGCGAACCACAAGGTCAGCAGTTCGAAACTACTAGCTGTTCCGCGGGAGAAAGATGAGGCTTTCTGTTCCATAAAGATTTATAGCCTCGGAAACCCTGTATAGGGTCACTATGAGTCGGAACCAACTCCACGGCACATAACAACAACAAACTCAATAACCTTTGACTTCCTTTGAAGAAACTAGTTTTCTTTTATCCTTTCCTCTGGATCCTTCTTCCCTCCCGTATCTTCTTTCCCTGCTTTCCTCTCACCCCTCCCTTTCTAGCTCTCTCCCTCCTTCTCTTCCTCCTTCCGTTTTGAAATTGTGTTTTGAAAAACTTCAGAATAACAGAAAAAGTGCAAGAATAGCACCAAGAACTGTATCGCCCTTCTTAAGACCCCCTACCTCCCGGAGAGCCTGTTCCTAAGACCCCCTACCTCCGGGAGAGCCTGTTCCTA